GCTGTTGCTGCTGACCTTTTGGGGACTCATTTGCCTTCCAAGTTCCCCAAACACGAGCAGCAAACAAGCCCTAAACCCTAAACCCTAAACCCTAAACCCTGGGCGGCGAAGCAGCAGCGCCTCCCGAAGCGACCGCCTTTGCTGCAGCAGCAGCAGCAGCAGCAGCAGCAGCAGCGGCAGCAGCAGCAGCAGCAGCAGCAGGTTGCTGCGCGTGCGTCTGCAGGTATGCTGCTGCTCTAGCCTCTCTGCCGGTGCCAAGCGAGCTCTCCTTGTGGCTGCGGTCTCATTCCTTTACAAGCTAGGCTGCAGCTAGCAGCAGCAGCAGCAGCAGCAGCAGCAGCAGCAGCTGCAGCAGCAGCAAAAACTGCAGCAGCAGCAGCAGCAAAAGCTGCAGCATTATGCTTGCATGCAGCGTTGCTGCTGCTCCCAAATGCAAACAAACAAAACAAACAAATAAAAGCTTTTCTTCTTTTAAATTCAATTTCTTTAAACTTCAAAACTCATAAGTTTAGAAATGCCCCACAGCAGCAGCCACGGGGGCCCCCAGGGGGCCCCCTGGGGGCCCCCTAGGGGCCCCTTTGGCTGCTGCTGTGGGGCCCCCGGGGGCCCCCTGGGGGCCCCTTTGAGGGCCTCTTGGGGGCCCCTCTGGGGGCCCCATGGCGGCCATTTTGGGGCCCCTTTGGGGGCCTTTTGGGGGCCCTTTTGGGGCCCCTTTGGGGGTTCTTTTGAGGCCCTTTGGGGGCCTTTGGGGGGCCCCCTTGAGGCCCATGGGGGCCCCTAGGGGCCCCCAGGGGGCCCCTGAGGGGCCCCTTTGGGGCCTTCATGATGCCAGTTTGCTGCTGCTGCTTTGTAGTTAGGGTTTAAGAGCTAGGGTTTAGGGTTTAGCAACAGTGCTGCAGCGAGGGTTTGAAGTTGAGGAAGAATACCATGCAGCAGCGCCAACACATTTGAAACCCCCGGGCAACAGCTGCTGCTGCAGCAGCTGTTGCTGCTGCAGCAGCTGTTGCTGCTGCAGCAGCTGTTGCTGCTGCAGCAGCTGTTGCTGCTGCAGAAGCTGTTGCTGCTGGAGCAGCTGTTGCTGCTGCAGCAGCTGTTGCTGCTGCAGCAGCTGTTGCTGCTGGAGCAGCTGTTGCTGCTGCAGCAGCTGTTGCTGCTGGAGCAGCTGTGTCTCACAGCTATTGGCAGCAGCTGTTGCTGCTGCTAATAGCTGTGGCCGCCGTGCGTCTGCTGCTCTTGAGCTCCCTTGGGCCTCTTTGCAGCAGCAGCAGCAGCAGCAGCAGCAGCACCATAGTTGAAGCAAGCAAGTGGAAAGCCCCAACATCTGCTGCAGCGGCGGAGCTCCAGCAGCAAAGACCCTCCGGGGCCCCTTGCCATTCGAACCTTGCTGCTGCTGCTGCTGCTGCTGCTGCTGCTGCTGCTGCTGCTCCTATGGGTGTCTAGGCAGCTGCAGCGGCAGGCAGAAGGTACATGCAGGCTCCACGTACACTCGGGAGGGACTGGCTTGAATTCCCCCTCTGCCGCTGCTGCTGCTGCTGCTGCTGCTGCTGCTGCTGTTGCTTTTGTGGGGTGTTGCAGCGGCTGCAGCTGCTGCTGCAGCGGCTGCAGCTGCTGCTGCAGCGGGGGGCTCCGCAGCGTCTTCAGACCCCCAACAGCTGCGCTTTCACTCTCCTGCTGCTGCTGCTGCGGCCTACTGGTGCCTGCAGCAGCAGCAGCAGCAGCAGCAGCAGCAGACCAGGAGTTAAGGGCCCTTTCTGTCGGCTTCAGCAGCACAGACTTCTGCAGGGGCCCCTTCAGGGGGCCCCCCACTGGGCCCCCGAAGCCCTCCAAGGGGCCCCTACCTCCCCAGATCTGCTGCTGCTGCTGCTGCTGCTGCTGCTGCTGCTGCTGTAGGCTTTCTCCAGAGTGCTGCAGCCCCGTGGGCAAAGGGTCCACACAGAGGCGCCAGTGGCTCCCTTGGCGTGCTGCTGCTGCAGCATCAGCGCCGCCGTCGCCGCCAAACAACCTGCTGCTGCTGCTGCTGCTGCTGCTGCTGCTGCTGCTGCTGCTGCTGCTGCTGGGGTCCATACGCTTTACCAGTGGACCTTCCCGCCGCAGCAGCGGGGGAGCTGCGGCGCCTTCAGGGGTGGCGAATTGGTTTGCTGCTGCTGCTGCTGCTGTCGGGGAGAGGAGAGCTCTCTCTGCTGCTGTTGTTGCTGCCGTTGCTGCTGCTGCTGCTGCTGCTGCTGCTGCGTTGAGGCTGTCGTCGGCATCCGCAGGAGAACCAAAAGTGTTTGTTGCTGCTGTTGCTGCTGTGTCTGGAGTTGCTGCTAGGGGGCCCCTGTTGAGGGGCCCCCCTGAGCGTCTTAAGGGTTTAGGGTCATTCATGGCAAGGGGGCCCCCTGCTGCTGCACTTGAGGCTAGCAGCTGTTCTGCTGCTGCTGCTGCTGCTGCTGCTGCAGGCCGTGCCGCGCTGGCGGCAGCAGCGGCAGCAGCAGCTGCTGCAGCAGGCCTTGGGGTGGCG